TTTAATCTAATGAGAATCTTTCTAATAACTTCTATTACTGAAACATTTGAATGTGGGAAGGAGGTGAAAGTAATTGGATTGCAATAATTAAATCATACAACGCAATTACCTTCAAAAGGTTGTGTGTTTATGCTTCCTGAATGCAAATGGGAATTGATTAGTACAAAGAGCACTGAACCTGCCTCTGTTCTGGAAAGAAATAAGTTGGAGGGGTGCAGGTAGTGGGGTGTCTGTGGGTAAGAGGAAGGGATAAAGATAATTTTATTATGTCAAAGCTCTATAAGGAAGACTGACACACAGGTGTTAGTGAGAGAGTTAGTGTTGAAACTTTGCTTGAAAAATACCCTAGTGTGATACAATATGTCTAATAGTTCCCAAAAGCTGTAGGCTGATGCTGACTGAGAACTCCAACCCTGAATCTACCTGCATTTGCAGTCAAAATTAGCTTCCTTACAGCAGTTATGCAGGAATGTGATGTAGTCACTGCACTGCTTCATATGATACATGTTGACGTTTTGTGGAGCTGCTGAGGACCTGAAGCAACTCAGGTCTCTGAATCTTGTGCTAGTAACCCCCAGGTAACAATATGTTACCTTGTTGTGAGAGTGACAGAGCCCTGGAACAGGCTGCCCAGGGAGGTTGTGGAGTCTCCTTTGCAGGAGACATTCAAAACCTGCCCAGACACGTTTCTGTGTGATGTGCTCTGGATGACCCTGCTCTGGCAAGGGGGTTGGACTACATGATCTTTCGAGGTGCCTTCCAACCCCTAAGATTCTGTGAATATTTTTCTGTGGTTGTGACTTCTGGTTCATTTCTTGGGTCTCTTTACTTGCCCAAAGTTTATGCCATGGAAACCAGTCAGAATGGGATTTGGGTCTCGTGCTTGGACAGTAGAGCATGCGCTGCTTCCAAGTGCATGTGCTTGAGTAACTGGAAGAAACACTGAACTTCATTGTTTATTGTCCAGAAAACTCAAAAATATGTGGAAATGGTTTCATAGCCGAGTAGTAAAGCTGTCATGTTGCTCTAGTTTTTTCAAGTCATAAAGATCCATTTCTCCTGAGATTGTCTTCCACAAATCTTTGTTTTCTAGTCACTTCCCACGAAACACCCAAAAAACACTCTATGTATACCAAAACTGTGTTAAAGAGATTCTCTTAGGTCTAAGTTCCACTGATCTTTATAACAGTTTTTCTTTGACAAACCCATGCAATTCTATAGCTGCATATAACCTGCCAAAACTTTGACATTTTTCCTGTTACATAATATGAGTTTGCATTTATTATAGGCATGAATTAAATGGTGAAATATCTTACAAAGCATGATTTGAATTAGAATATTTTATAAGCTTTGTGTGAAAAATTCATGACTTTCAGTCTGCCTGCCTGCTTGCTTGGCACACTGTTTTGTACAATGTATTTTTTCTGCAGATAAATGGTAAATGTACAGTACTTTATTTTGCAGGTTCTTCCCTCGTGTACCTTCTACTACATTCCCCCTAAGCAGAAGGAACTAGAAAAGTACTCTGCAAAATCATTAACCTCTGAGCTTATCTTGTATTACTCTTTAGTTGCACACTCCCTGTCTTTGCTGGAGATGTTGGTTCAAAATAAAATTATTAATTATCAGAAGGCAAGAAACTAAACTAGTGACTCCTGAGAATGCATGAGGGAAGAGAAGAAGGAGAGCAATGAGACAATGAGACAACTTAAATTTAATAAGGAGAATCACCAAAGGTAGCAAAGATCAGATTCATTGCCACCAGCTGACGGGTAAAAATCTCCATGAACAAACCCCTCTGTCTGTTCCCACTACCCTACTCTTTGTACCAGACTGAAGAGTTGCTCCTGAGGTCCCTGTTCAGTATCAGATGGGTGTTGCATTGTCAGTTCTGCATCTGAAAATGTAATTTTGTGGCAGGAGGAGAAATCAGAAGTCGGGACTTTTATCAACCCCTGTCTGAGCAGTGCAGTGTAGATTATTATTATGGAGATTGCTGTAGTGAGTTACCTCACATAAAATGTTCTCTGCCAGCCTGGACATGGAGCAATTCAAAGCAGTGGGATTTTATTTCATTGGATGGGATTGATAGTCATTGTGCTTGAACATTCAAGGACTCATCAGACCCCTTCCCTTGGTTTAGTTGCTTCCTGTGTTACTTTAGCAGATCAAGCTTCATCCATGCGGGTTTTGGAACAGTCCCTGTGCTGTTGATGTCTAGGACAATCCTCATTTGGTTTGGCTGCCTTTGGCAGCTGTGTTTCTCTGGTGCTTCTGAGCTTTGTGCACAAGGGTTGCTGGGCTGGTAGCAGTGGCAGTGATACTTTGGATGTCAAAGGTGTTGGCTGTTGTGAGCTGACCCAGCTTCCTCTTGAAGCCAGATGTTACTGCTCCTATGGCTTTGTTGCAGGGTGAGAGGCATAAGGGGTAAAGAGAGCAATTATTGCTCAAAAGGCTTTTCTTTTGCAGGAAGTCAGTGCTTGAGTTACAGACCAAACTTACAATGAGTCAGAGTCAAAGAATGATCTGGGTTGGAAGGGACCTTAAATATCATCTAGTTCCAACTCCCCCCTGCATGGGCAGGAACACCTCCCACTAGATCATGTTGCTCAGAGCCCCTTCCAACCTGACCTTGAACACTTCCAGGAGGGGGAATCCACAACCTCCCTAGGCAACCTTTTCCAGTGCCTCACAACCCCCACACTAAAGAACTTCTTCCTGATGTCTAACCTAGATCTACCCTCTTCAAGCTTGCAGCCATTACCCCTTGTTGTCTCACTACACACCCTTGTAAAAAGCACCTCCCCAGCTTTCCTGTAGCCCCTTCAGATACTGGAAAGCCACTGTAAGTGCCCCCAGAGCCTTCTCTTCTCCAGGATGAACATCCTCAGCCTGTCTTCATAGGAGAAGTGCTCCAGCCCTCAGATTGTCTTTGTATGTCCTTCCTGTGTTGAGGGTTCCGGAATTGGGCACAGCACTCCGGGTGCAGCCTTGCCAGAGCAGAATAGAGGGGCAGAATCACCTCCCTTGACCTGCTGGTCACACTTCTTTTGTTGCATCCCAAGTCACAGTTGGCTTTCTGGGCTGCAAGTACACATTGCTGGCTCATGTTGAGCTTCTCATCAACTGGTACCCTCAGGTTCTTCTCCTCAAGGCTGTTCTCAGTCCATTTTCTGCCCAGTCTGCATTTGTGCTTGGGATTGCTCCTACCCAGGTGAAAGACCTCACACTTGGCCTTGTTGAACTTCGTGAGGTCAGCATTGGCCCACCTCTCAAGCCTGTCAAAGTCTCTCTGGATGGCTTCCCTTCCCTCCATGTCATGGATGCCAGCACACTGACATCAGTTAATGATCTTTCAGTATACCTGGAAGTTCTTTTAGCCTTTCAGAAAATCCTAATAGCAGCTTGTGTCATTAACTGGTGGGAACAAGAATCTCTTAACTTCTCTTGACCACAAATATCCCTGGAGAATTTGAGGATTTATAGTACTGTGGCATCTTTAATGCAGTTGATAAATATTTGTCTTTATCCCAATTTAAATGACAATGTCTCTGTTAAAGGCAGCAAGACAGCCAGTGCCTTACTTGGATTTTAAATACTACTGTTGTTATATTTATTTAATGACAGTAGATAAAGCTTTAGCTGTTTCCAGTGCAGATACTTGGTTCCCAGAGAGATGTGTCTTTTGAATAATTCTGAATTGCTTATTGGATATTTAGGAACAGGTGAAGATTTTAATTTATTTTTTTTCCACACTGAAGAAGACATCAGTATATTGATGGTGAGAATATGTGGTAATACTCCAGTAATCATGAAGAAAACCTTACAGACTGTACTAACCCTGAGTATAGCATTATCCTAATCTTTTTTCCTTTCTTGTGCCAATTAAATAGCTAGATGAGCATTTTAAAGAATTTTCCAGAAGAATTTAGCATCTTCCTTTTCCTGTTTGGAAAATTCTGTAACTGCATTAAATCAGTTCTGTGGTTAGAGCAGCTGATAGGAAATGTCTTCATTTTTAACCATGCCATTTGTGCTGATGACCTACCTCACTTTTCCAAGGAGCAGTAATGTTCAGGCATTGATCTGTGAGTGAGCCTGGTAGGACCTTTAGAAAGTGACAGATGAAAATTTCTATAACAGGTTCACACTACAAATAAAAATAATGCTCATTTCACACCTTGTTCTGGTTTTGATACTTACCCTCTTGGTCCCTCAGCAAGACAGAAGTTCAAAAAAACTCACAATAGATGGTCCAAGGTATAAACAATAATGAAGAGTATGTTAAAATGCCCTTTAAAAGTTTTCTGAAGCTCAGGATTACCTACAAAATACTGAAGTAAATTGTAGGTGTTGAGGGTTACCTCTGCTCTGTTTTACTTCTAGCATATGCCTGGGCCATGAAGGCAATAGTGAATTACACAAGCACATCTCAGTGAAAAGAAATGTCTAAAAAGGCAGGAGCAAGGAAGGAAACATTCACAAGCAGGAGGGGAGGGGTCTGTTATGTGTAACTGATACGTCGGATTTCTTGACTCACACTGTACAACTGGTAGTTTTACGGTTATTCTGGAGAAATTTAGTGGAACAGGGATAACTTGTTTCTTGAGTTAATGGTGGTGTTGGATCTCCCTATTACAGAGTTCACAGCATTTCAACATGCAAACATCTTGTGACAGTGTTTAGATATGTCTAATATGTCTGTACTGTATGCAAGATCAGTATTTTTATTTTCCCTTGATTTTGTGCAAGGCATCAAGGAGAAAAGACAAGAGCTTTGCCTTTGAGTCAGTTCCAGAGATTGAACTCTACAGCTCCAAGTGACACCCAGTTGACACTTGACACTAAGTGACAAGAAGCTCAGGTCAGAGCAGGGACTGAGTAGAGAATATTGTATCCAGCCTGGCAGTGTGGTGAAGACTTTCACAGAGAACACTGCAACCTAAATGCACAAACTAGGGTTTTTATGAACAAAATGTCTCTATCAGAAAGAAGGCACCATGGCATGTACCACAGGTTGCAGGTATTTCTGTAGATGGCGAAGCACAGACCTGCTGCACTAATGTGGATGTGCTGCCATTGACATAAGCACCTCCATCAGTGGCTGGTGCTCAGATGAAACCTACCTCCTGCACATGTACACAGCTTACCAGTGTGTTTGAGACCTGCCACTACAACCACAGCCACCTGGACTTCTGCCACATACTTTTGAGCATAGCAGAGAGAAGCAGTTTTTCTTTTAAGGTAAACTTTTTTCACATCCCCTTAGTATATGAAGATGTAGCCTGTCTTTTGCATGGCAAAATTATTTCTGTGTAGCCTGTCTCATTTTAAAAAATACATCATCTCTGTTATGAAAAGACTAGAAGAATATCCATCGATTTGACAGGTTCTAAAAATGTTTCTAAGCCTATTCACTGGCAGCAAAATGAAGGGACAACTCATTTCCATGGTGACACTGACTGAATCACTTCAGAGAAGTTGAAGAATGAATCCTGACCTGGGTGGGTGCTGTGTTTAAGTCCTGTAACCATGCAACCAGCAAGTTCTCTTCATGCTATGGATCCATAAAAAAAACCAAAACAAACTTGTTTCCATTCATGCTTATTTTCTATCTTTCACATTCTTTAGAAGCTTCAGAAGCTCTGGGTTTCATGTCTAGTGGGTAGTGATGTGTACATAAAAATACGCAGAACTGCAACTGGAAAAGAGACAGTCTCTTCCAACAGCATTTGGCTTCTCCCAAGTTCGGTTGCTAGTATATTTTTTTAGCCAGAATCTACTTTGAGAAAACATTACCGAGAAAATTTTAATGAACTGAGATGAGTTTTTCTTCTTTCAATAAAATGCCTTATCTAATCCAGTGGTTTTAAGAGAAGAAAATAATGAGTCATCATTTTCTGACATAAAGAATTTTAATGCTTTTATACCAGCTTATACATAGATATTGGAATTCCATTACAATGCTTAACATAACTTTAAAATGTTTATTTTAAAGATATGCATAGTAATTGCCCTTAATTTTAAAATAAATGGTGTACAAGATCTTTTGTTTTCCTTTATTTAAAATGATTTACTGTGGAGGTAGGTATTTCTGTAATGAGCTACATAAACTGACTTGCTGGTTATGTTCCCTTTCACATACCTTTTATTCTTAAAATGCTTTGGTTTTCATTTTGCATGAATTAGCCATTGAATGAAAATATATTTGCCTGCATAATGAAATGAGCATACTGTGTGCCAGCAGAAGAGGCCTACACTAGTAAAAGTAGTTTCACTCTTAACTAGGAACCTCCACCAGTTTTTTGGGTTTTTGTGGGGTTTGTTTTTTTTTTTAAACTTAAGCAAAAAACATTCGTTTCAATATAATTCAGCTAACAGTCTTTACTTTGACATAACTGTCAAAATAATTAGTAAGTCTGTAGTGGGTACAGTTTAAAAAAAACAACAGCAAAACCTATCCAAAGCTTCCTAATTATTGCCATTTTTGCAAATAAAATTGATATTTATTTCCTCTAGCTTTTGAAAGATGCTTTCCTGTACATAGACTTTTTTTTTAAACAAGCTAAATAATTTGTACTATGTTGTACAGGATTTGTTGTTTTCCAGAACCCTAAAGTGGAGAGGAGAGGCAATCTTGTCAAAGCCGGGGAGTTCTGAAATTGTTAGCACTGAATATATAGATTGGGATGGTCAAGCAAGACAAGCCTCTCACAGGATATCAGTGCGCCTCCTCAGGGCTGTTTCACATCGAGTTCTTTCAGCTCCCTGTTATTTATCTCATTAGTTTTTTGTGCACACTCATTCATTTCCACAATAACTCCACTTGCTGAGGATAAACACATGAGTAAGAGCTCACTTGTTTGGGAAACAGAGTGGCTGGTAGACTCCTTTGGGTGAACCCAAAGGTCTTGGACCCTGTCCCAAACCTGGTGTACTGCCCCATAGCTGTAGGTGTCTTCCCAGATGTGGATGCTGATGTCTGGATGCAAAGTGCTGCTCTGACAAGAGCTTTATCTAGTTGCACTGAGAAATGAGAAAAGGATTTGACCCTCTAGCTATCGACATTCCAATAGCATTGTTTTCACCTGATAAATTGTCCCTGAAAAAGTATTAGTGGTTTTGCTTCAGATCTGCTGAAAAATTACTGATCTGTTTGTTTCAAGGAGGCCATTAGACTTGGGAAGTAATTATATCAATTTTGTGTATATTGAGCAATTTGTGAGTGCTTTCTAACAATGGAACTTGCTGACCCAGGGCAATGTTAGTTTATAGAGCCACAGGCTGGGTCAAAGTGTACTCCTGAGACTTTTATAAAATTATGCATTTTGTGTAGTGCCCAAATACACAGGTCTCTGAATTATTTGCTGAAAAATTAGTTTGGATGTCGGTCTGGAGGAGCAGAAACCTGATTTTTGGATATATGTAATCCAGGAACACACAGTGGTGCAGGCCGTAGCTTGGAGTTTTAGGATAGATAAGTTGTTCTTGATTTGCTTTATTATAATGCATGGCATCTCTGTTAAGACTTGATTTGTGTATGTGATGTTTTAGATATAATTATATTATGTTGTAATATCAATGTATTGCTCTTTTACTGGCTAAAAAGGGCTGAAATCTGCTTTCCTACGACAGTGAAGTAACAGTAGGAATGAACCTGTAATCTTCTCCATAAGCTGTATTTCCACATGTTTCATGAGATGGAAACCCCATTCTTTCTTGGTTTTATTTTCCTTAATACTATCAAGTGCAAGTTACAGATTTTCTACAGGAAAATAAGGCCTGTGTTTAACAATAGTTTTTTTAGATCCCTCTTGTAGGGGGGGTTGGACTAGATGATCTTTCAAAGTCCCTTCCAACCCCTAAGATTCTGTGATTCTGTACTTGCTGTTGCATGCTGACTTGGTAGAAATGAGCAAACAGTTGTGAGTGATGAGTTAAATCTGTTGTGCTACTCTAACACAATGCTGTCCTGGATATCCAGGTTTTCCAGAGAAGGTTGATTCATTTGGTGTAAATCAGTAATGCGTGGACTACAGCATTATATGGAGAGTGTGCTACTTAGAATTCGAGATAATAAGGGTTTGAGAAACAGTAAGGCAGGTAGCAGTTGGCTGTAATTGAGGTGGCAGTGGGCTATGCAAGAAGATTACTGGTTGCTGCTTTAACTGGTGACACTGTCACTGGGCATGTTTTGATGAAATTAGCTGATGAACTAAAGTTAAGAGAGAGCTTTAATTAAAGGCTTTAGGCACTGGGCCAAAACAAGTGGATGATACTGAGGACTGAAGTAATAAGTACTGAATGACACAGATGACCCATCAGTCCAGCTTAGGAAACAAGCGACAAGCATCTCACGTGTGTGAAGGGCATGGATTGAGTGACAGGGAACTGCCAGTATAGTGTGACTCTGAGAAAGCAAAAGTAATCCTGAGGCACATTGGGAAGGTCTTCTAGCAGAGAGGAAACCACTGATGCATTTGTAGAGAGGCCTGTAGCACTGTGTAGATCTGGGTGCCTCTGTTTTAGAACTGATGGGGTAGAAGACTGCCAAGCTGCCTTTCACCTTTATTGTCCCAAATCCTCATCTGAGATGTTGGGAGAACAGAAGTGTTCAAATCTTTGGTAAAGGCAAAGAACAAGAAGCCACAGCAGTTTCTGAATACTGTTGTGATGTGTTCGGTCTAGATGAGCACTACATGGAACCAAGGAATGGGTTGCTCTCATCACCTTACAGAGATTAATCTGAGGTTGATGTACAAGGCTGCTGTAGGAGTTTGCACATTTTTATATTTTCCCTCTGAGCAAAATAATTTTTTTTTGAAGGTAGTCTTGTGCATTCCTTGTCACCACTTTGTTTTTATTCATTGTCACCTTTTCATTCTTCCTCATGTATACGTTGTGCTTTTTCTTTTGCAGAACAGTTCGTGTCTGGCTGAAGAGAGACAGTGGGCAGTACTGGCCCAGCATATACCATGCAATGCCATGTAAGTATAAGGAGATATTATCTACTGTGTATTTGGAAAATGGCATTTCTTGTTTTGATGAAGCTTCATGTTTATTACCATTTGCAAGCTTACTGCTCTATATAAAATATTATTTTTGAACAATCATCTTGTTTTCTGTTATGCTTTACCAAGTTGAATGCTAATGGTTCTGAGAGATATCAGGGATTAGAGCAGCAAAAGGACACAGATATGCCAGCAAGGGATGAGCATTTAATCCAAACATAGTTTTAAAAATGTGGGAGCTCAAAATGAGTCTTGCATTCTGCCACTAATGGAGTCCATAAATCATTGTAAGTCTCAAGTATAACTCACTCTGCCCTTCCTACTGCATGTGCTCAGTCCATTAGAGTGCAACTGTAAATGATCTTATTTGATAAGAACTTAATATCCTGCAGCAGTCAATATAATAGAGAGGATACTAGACAGGGAAGGCAGCTCTTCCAGTGAAGAAATAGAATAATTTTACCCCTGCAGTTTAAAGTGGAAAGCCTAGTCTCCCTGATGGATCCCTTCAGTATGATCTGCTCTGTGTCTCCTCTCTCAAAGACAGTGTTCATGCTTTAAAAGAAGCTGCAGATCAATGTCCATTTTTCCAAGAGACAGCTGAAGAAATCACAGCCCTGGCTGTTTGTCATAACCCCTGTGGCAGAGTGCAGCAGGGATATGCTGGTGCTCCTCAAACTGCTTCAGATGTGTTGGGTTTTCCTGTCTTTGGAAAGCTTATGGAGCTGACCTTAAATCCACAGACTGGTGAGCATTTACCAAGTCCCATTAAGGAGTTCTTACTGTAGGCAGAAATAATTTTTTTTAAACCAAGATAGCTAGATTTGGAAGAGACATACGATCCATGATACATAAAATATTTGATAGATGTAAGTTTTAATACCACATCATCATCTTGAAACCCTAGAGTGGCCACGGTGTTTGACTGCCTGCTTTAAGAAAGCATTCATTCAGTATAGAAGAGAAACTCTGTTCTTCCTTGGGTGATAGACTAGCTCATAAGAGTACATCAAGCCTCAAAGGTACTTTCTGCTCAGAAGTTTGCACAAAAAGGTATTGGAAACCATCCAATGATGTGACATTCTGTGAATCACAAGCAGTGGCCCAAATTCCTAAAAGTTTGGCTTTCTGCAGTCAAACTGTTACAAAATAGCTATTTTAGCAGTTTGGCAATGATACTTCTCCTTTTCCATGTGATGTTTTTGCGCACATTTGCATTTTAAAATCTTGTTGGGTCCTCTGCTGGACTTAGAAATGTTGTGTTATTGCCAGTAATAACAGCTTTGATGGAGTAGATCCAGATCCACTCAAAGGGGACTACTTTAAAGCTTCTTCATAAATTTGAGCACCTGACACTGTTACTTCACTTACAAGGCTGATGAGCTTTTGAGTCATGAGATATTAAAATTATGCTGTGTTATTCACCAATTTCAAGAAGATTCAGGTGTAATTAACACCAATGCCAATTACCTGATCAGCCATGGCTTTAGGCTTGGAAGTTGTAGGAAGGGCTCAGAGTCAGCCTCTGCACAAGTCTGCATTTGACTGGAAATTCTAATTCTGTCTGTTTCCATGTGGATCACCTTTTTGATGGCCCTCTGCTTTAGGTTCGTAATGGTTTTTGTTGTCTAGAGAACAATGGCTGCCCAGAGGTTCTCTGTATAAAAGTGTAGTAGGTACGATGGTGCCTTTTTGCTGCATAGCAAGCTGTAAGTGGTGGTCCCACCTGTAGATACACCTTTACCATGACTTGTTACAGTGGTGCATGACCCACAACCCTTTGAGTTGGCATCTGATAGCCTTTGTAAATTTGTGCCTTGGTGACTCTGGGAGATGAGGAGCTGGGCCAAGTCAGCCATGTGCTTTGGTCAAACTCTGCACCCAAACCTCTCACAGACATGGATGAGAGTAAAGGATTTATTATAGTGAGGATCAGTGGAGTACCCAGTCTTTGAGGCAGAAAAATCAGTCTGTCTTATGGTGGTTTTCACAGTGAAGACTTTGATTTGAACAGGAGGGGAAAAAACCTGCAAATTAAAACATGCTCCTTTGCCTTAAACTACGCCACATTTAGACATTTCTAAGGGGGGGCCCTGAAAGTGCAGGTACAAAGTTTGTATTCTCTTCTGTCAGCCTCTAATACACATGACACACTGTCAAGAGCATGAAGTGTGTAATCTGGCTTCTCCTCCATAATTCAGTTTCCACAGGCTAAAATCAGTTGTTAACTGCCCTGTATTTACTTTTTAAAGAAATCCTAATCATAGCTAGGTACTGAAGTAGAGGGCCTCCAGAGTGCAGTTATTTTTCCTGGCTATTATTTTAAAAGGATGTTAAACACTTCAGAATCTCAGGAGTTTGGCTTGGGGATTTTTTGGGGTTTTTTTTGGGGAGGGTTTTTGTTGTAGTTGTTTTTTTTGTTGTTGTTGTTTTTTCTTTTTTCTTCTTCCCCTCTTCTTAATGAGCCTAAGTGCTGAAGTGTCCAAATGTCATCTTATTTTCACTAAAGCATAAGCTGCTGCAGTCTTGTTACAACAGGCATCACTTTACATTAGTGTAGCCAGCGTGGACATAATTTTAGTGCTGACAAAGATTTTTCCAAGAGCACACATTACTGAAGAATTCCCTTAGGCAAAAATTATAGCAAAATAAGTATCTTTACACTGCTATGACTGTGTATGTAGACTATGATTCTTTTTAGACTGCTATGACTGGCATTTAGAAGTGACTTTTTGTAATAAGCCTGTGTCAAGCAGTTGCTTGCACCTTTTGTGTCTGAAGTGTTTCAGGCTATTTGGGAAAAGCATACTTCAAATAGCTGCTTTACCTGAGAAAATTTTACTGTGAGCTGTTTGTTGCCTCTGGGGTTGCTATTGGCTCTTTCAATGTGTGCACAGTGTCTTAGCATTTGAAAGCTGATACGTGGAATATGCCTGTTCTGTTACTGAGTGTGCCTTTAAAGGGTTTTGATGTTTATTCTGCTTAGAATTGTTGGGTTTTGTTGTTTGTTTTTTTTCCCCTTGTATATTTTTCCTATAACTGTCCCATTATGCTACAACCCTAGAAGCTTCAATATTATAGTAACACACCACTATCCCAAGGCATGATTCAAGTTTGCTTTTTCTGAGGAAGAGGTATAGGAAGGAGCAATTTTTTCCCTGTTAGTAGCCCCGATTTTAAGTGTTTCCCTTCTGGCAGTTAACTCAACTGAAGCCTTGTCTTTGATTTAATTCAGTCAACCCTTTCAGTAAATAAATAAATCAAGGTGCCCCCGTGGATGCAGATCTGGCAGGCTTTCTGCCTGTGGCTGGTTGTCCTTTATGAAGTGTTTCAAGGGAGAGTCAATTCTAAAGGTAGAACAAGTTTTGTTAAACAGTCAACCTACATTCTCCCTTCCTCATGTAACTTTGCTGCCAACTAAACTGTCAAGAAGATTTGCTGAGCTATGGACTATTTAATCCTGGGTGATGATACATTCCACAAACTGAGAATATCCCAGATACACAGTACTGCAAAAGAGAGGATTCCAAGCTTGTTAGTAACAAAAACACTGAGTAATCACAACGGAGAGTAGAAACCAAAAGATGGGGGAAAGCAGAAGTAAAAGCACACCTGACTGTAGTCTACTTTTATTACAAGAATATGGTTTCAAAAACACTCTTATCACTATTGAAGGAGCAAGAATGCCTGTCCCTAGCTGGAGTTGGCAAATGCTGCTGAAAAATTGTTCCTGAGGGTTTCTGTTAGGGTAGCAAGACTCCTAGCTGTATGCTGCTGTGTTGAGCAGTAAATACAGTCCCTATCTTCTGAACAAAACTTCAGTTACTCGGTTAAAACAAACACAGCTCTGGAGTTCTTGCAAGAAAATTCTGGTTTTACTCTTGAGGTGAACCCTGCCAGATCCTCGAGGGTGTGCAGTATGACTGACTTATGTGCAACTGAAGAGTCAATTCTGATGTTTAATAGAGTAATATTCTTACAATGAAACAATGGCTACTTTTTGATACAGTCTTTTATTTTGGCCCTAGTATGTGATACTGTCATAGTACCCTCTGTGGTGAGACTAGAATGGGGGACAGTTGAAATAGTTCTTAATTTGGGTTGGCATATTGACTGGTTAACTTTCCTACTGCAGGTATAGAATGCAAGCCTCTGACATAGTACAGTGCTTTATTGTCAGTAAAATTCAGACAAATGTAAAAACTAAGTGATACAGCAAAGTAACCTCTCAGATTTATACTGAAATGTCAAGTGCCTCTTAGATCAAAACACCACCACTGCTCCTGTATGACATGCCTGTTTTCAGACAACAGTAAGAAAAATTAAGGAGCTGGAGCAAGAAATAGCTGTTGTTCCATGTCTATTGGAAGGGGCAAAATGCTGAACTCCATCATAAAGCATGTTAGCTACTTTTAGGCTTTCCAGAACTTCAAGAAAATGAGACTCGCAGTTTTGTTAACTTCATCAACATGTTCATTTTTTTCAGCTCCATGTTCATGCATGTCTTTTAACCCGGAAACCAGAAGGCTGTCCATAGGTCTAGACAATGGTACAATCTCAGTAAGTACATCCAAAGATTTCTAGTTGAAATGCTTCCCTTCTGAGAAGTATGTGTGTGATGTTGTGGAGAGGATATTTTTGCTAGAGTTTGAGAGAGACACTTTTTGCTCTTAGCAGAACTGAAGCTGTAGTGTAGAAAATGGTGTATTATTACAAATTTCATTCCAACTGCCATGAAGACATTGGGTGGGGTTTACATTATTTATTAGGAAACTCAACAAACTGTCTTAATTTGCATATATCTTTAAAAAATAACAATGCAGAAAGCCAGCAGTTGTTTTATTAAATTTAAGTGAGTTGTTAATCATACCATACCAAAGTTTTCTGAAAGCAACAATTAAGAGGGGAACAAAAAAATCTTCTGAGGGGCAGAAGGTAGATTTCTGTTCCATATCTTGCTGCTTTTCCAAACTTCAGGGTTCAGATTTTTTTCCTCTTGATTCCTTCAGAGGACTTGCTTCTAACTGACAGTTCTCTTGCTGGAAGATTGGGTTCATTAACATCTAAGACAGATCTTGGTGTGTGGAAAGGAAGCAGGGTATTAAAACAAGAGTCTGTCTTTTGGATCTGGGACAGAGGGTAGCAGTTGACCTTATTCATTGGATATTTCTTGTGGGATGAGTAAAGAGTTGTATCACTTTGTGAGAAGGTCATGGGCCATAGAGGTATTTTTCACCTATGCCTCATCAACAGACTCCTCTTCCAGTTTAAGTTCACTTCACCATCATTTCAGATTTTTGCTGCTGCTGTAAGCCCTTAAGGGCTTTGTAACTGAATTAGTGTTTGTAGGTTGACATAAGAAGGGCAGCTGGCTGCACTAAAGTTAAGATGGTATTTGGGAAAGGCTGTGTGACCCTTTTAGCTGTTGCCTGTGAGCTGTATCAAGGATGTGAAGGTTTTGACCTATGAAACTATTAATGGCTAGTAGCTGAGATTTTTTCATGCCCACGGATTTTCCCTTTTGTATCTAGAAGATGGAACAACTGCCCCAGTATTTCCTGAACCTCTGAAATTCCTTCCTTCCCACTCTCTGAAATAGCTGTAATTTCCCAGTCCTATTAGACAGCTTTGTTTTCACCAGGCCTTTAAGGAATGTGAAGACAGCTGTAAAGAAGGTATTTAAATACTTCCATACAAAATGGAAGAGATGTGTCTTTTGTCCTCCGGGCATTTTACCTTGAAGAGGCAGAGGCTGCTTGAGTCTGAATGGAGTAAAATATTTTCCATTCTGAAGCTAAAGAAGGTAAATTATATATGCAGGTAGTAAACTAACATGTGGTTTTGAATACTTACAGGTGTATTTTGCCATGTCTAAGATTATATTTGTTGCTGAGCAGGGCTATTTTTAATTTTTTTTTTCCCAAATCTTCTGGATAAAAATACATAAGAGAGGGGGAAGAGCTTGTTTGTGTGGCTTGATTTAGTCCCCTGTAGCTGCAGGCTGCTTTGTGTTAGAGGATTGTGCAGTAGATGCACCCACAAACTTTCACAAGTGATGAAATATTTTCCTCTGTAGAAACCTCAGGCTTGTAAGAGAAGCCACAACTGTAATGTACTACAAGAAGTGGTGTAGAAGAGCAAGAGTATCCCCGTATTCAAGTCCCAGCAATATTGGGGTGTCAGAGAAAATCCCTGGCTATTTGGAAGTGGGTTACAAACCACTCTCTGGATTTTCCTTCCCGGGCACAGCTATGATGATCAGTTGAGCACAGGAGTATACATGCAGGGCACAATGACCACAAAATAAGAGAACTTACTGAAACAAGGTGACCTTAGTCACCTTACTTTTAACTGTTGCCATGAAATGCAAATGCAGGCAATTTACTGGAGCAGCCTGAAATATTTGAGACTTAGCCAGTTGTTCCACTTCTGGTGAAGCCCAGCACCCTCATGTATGTTGGGTACAGGGCCAAAAAAATGCTGAAATAATTCTACATCTTCACTTTGTTTAGAAGGAAAGGACTCCTGGCAAGGACTGTAAACTACTATAATATTCATGAGAATGCCATATCATATCAATTTTTTGTTGTTGTTGTTGCAAGGAAAGTACTGTTTCTATTTAGAGATGCAAATAGGGATAAGAAAGTAGATTGCATTTTTTCTTCTAACTCAATTTTTTGGTAAGTCTGGCACCTCACAAATGTGAATGGTGCATTTTGAGAAGGATTGGTCTTACTACTGTTGTCAAAGAAAGATGTTCCAGCAAAGCCTCCATGAGGTGAGCTTGGATGGCCAACTTTCCTTGTGAAACAGGGTGACATTTTTTACTTGTACAAAGGCGAAGAGATTATTTTCAACCTTTTGTAATTTCTCAACATGAAGGTTGCACAAAACGTGTGCAGCACAATAGACTGTTCCCTTGAACAAAAGATTGTCTAACATCTTGCTTGAAGAACAGTGGCACCTAAAGTAAAAAAAAACCAAAACGTTCCTTCAATATTTATTTATTTATTTTACAATTTGCAATCCTTTTTTGAGAAGAAATGGCATTTCTGTTACTTTATGGCTTAGGTACTGCATAAGGTCCCTTTTGGAAGCCAAAAGACCTTATCATTGTCATAAATTCCTTGTTCTGAAGTGGAGAAAAGCATGCTTTAAAGGGTGCAAGTTTCTCAAGATACCACAACAATAAGAAACAGAGGAAAGGTCTGCTACTTGAAATAGACAGGAGACTTCCACAGCCAAAATGAGAGTCCTCACCTAATTTCATCCACCTGAAAGTTAGCTTTCTAGAAAAAGTTAATCATTAGGTTCTGCAGCCAGCAGAGGAAAGGTCATTTACCTTAGGACGTACACGTTATTTACCCTAGAAACTTACACATACTTAAATATGAATTTTATTTGCCTTAAGAGGAGCAATTTGAAACAAGATGCTGATAATATTTCTAGGGTAAGGATTTACAGTCTTAGGCTCAAGAGAAGTTTGTGGTGGGTGTGTATGTCTCAGTGAGAGGGCGGTGTGTGCCATGAAGGTATAGTAGAGTCTTCATAGATTGGATGGCCTTTTCAGATGCTCAAAATTTCTCCTTTTTGCTTTATGTAGGCTTTCATGGTACTAAGTCCCTCTTGTAATAATAAGCTTACCTGAAACAGCCAAGGCGTGTCACTAAGATTTTCAGTATAGCACAAAAGATAGTAAAGTAGCTCCAAAAAGACCCCTTTGAAAAGCAGAGATTTATTCCCTGCAAGGAGGGGTTTTGGTTTTGCCAACTTGAATGCTCTGATATATTCAAGCCCCTCCTGTGCAAAAGGGCTCACACAGGACTTGGAAATCTTTTTCTGTTCTGTTAACAAGCGCCGACTGAGCTGTGTGGGTGACCCTAGTCTTTCTAGCTCATTAGGAAGAGCCAAAAGCTGCCTAATGAGAACTGAGCGTCAGCAGCTCTGTGAGGAGCAAAACATCTACATATGGAAGGATGAAAAGAAAAAACAACTTTGTCTGGTACAATGTTGAGGAGGATGTAGTCGGTGTTTTTGTAGTGCAGGTGACACAATGTACGTGCAACAGGGCATGAATTCCTTGAGCAAGGTGCCCTGTGCTAAAATACCTGTCTATTGATGCAAGCAACTGATTTGGCCTTGAGAGGGAGAGGGGAATGAGTGCAATGGAAGAAGAGGTGATAGTGTAAAGTGGAGCAGGGGGAGCTGTAGAAAGATTCAAAAACACAAAACAAGAAAATGCATTGCAAACTATCACATGCTTTCAAATAAGGAAGTGGGAAACGAGAAGCCTTCAGGGGAAAAAAATTATATCCAGCATTGGGGTTAATGGGATGGGGTTTTTTGTACTGCTTGTTTATCTCTGAGGATGGAATGGTATATTAATAGTATATAGTTATGGTTTGTATCAAAGCATACAGAGCTAATCAATACTTGAGTAAACCTTACGAACTGCAGTTGTGTTTGTTTCTCCGTATTATAATGGAGAGATTCAAAAGCCTTTTCAGTCTTCCACTGAAACTGTGGGACTGTTTGGATCATGAAACAGAATTGCCAAGGAAAAAATGCAAATAAAAATGAGAACGCAAACCATGCTTTTCCTTCCACCTGAAGTCACCAGCATCTGTGCACTGCCACCATAATGAAAGCCAGGGACAGCCAAATAGGTTGCAAAGGCAGACACATTCTTCCACCCTGTGTTGCAGCAACTGAAGCCATTGCCCTTTACACAGCATCAAGTTCACATTCATCACAAAAGGTCTTGCTTCAAGCAGGCTTTATAGTAAGGCATTTCATGTGGTGGTTTAGCATTTTTCAGGCAGTGGTTAATGAAAACCACTTCCCCTCTAAGTAGCTAGGGAGGTATAGCAGATTTTTCATGTTCTGTGGTTTGTAGAGTTAAGGTGACCATGTTGTAGAAATCCAGCTAATTTGTCACTGCTGTTTAAATAACATTCCTCACTATAGTCTTCAGCTGCCAGGCAAAAACTAATGGGTGGTTGAGCAGGTCAAGGAAAGGATGATGAAGCAATTCAAGAGAACATGTATTTATAACTAACTTACAAGCAGAAACTTAGAAACAGTAAAAAACTGCCTCAACTCACAGTTGTTTTTCTGGAAGCTGGGATCTGTAGCTGTTCCACAGATGAGTATTGTAGCCTCTCCACCCTGGTGTGAAGCAGTAGACATGAAGAGTTAGGGTAATCCTGGTGCTGGAAAGCCATGCAGATTACCTACAGCTGAACATGAGCCAGCAGTGTGCCCAGGTGGCCAAGAAGGCCAACATCAGGAATAGTGTGACCAGTAGGACCAGGGAGGTGATCCTGCCCCCTATACTCGGCCTTGGTGAGGTCACACCTTGAGCACTGTGTGCAGTTTTGGGCACCACAGTATAGGAAGGACATTGAGGTGCCTGAAAGGGTGTAGAGAAGGGCAACTAAGCTGATTAGGGGACTTACGGGGAGAAGCTGAGAGAGCTGAGGCTGTTCAGCCTGGAGAAGAGGAGACTGAGGGGAGACCCCATTACTCTCTACAACTACCTGAGAGGAGGTTGTAGTGAGGCAGGTGTTGGCCTCTTTTCCCTAGTGACTAGCAATAGGAAAAGAAGAAATGGGGTAAAGTTGCACCAATGCAGGTTCAGGCTGGATATTGGGAACAATTTCTTTACAGAAAGAGTGGTGAGGCATTGGAACAGGCTGCCCAGGAAGGTGGTGGAGGCACCGATCCTGGAGGTGTTCAAAAAACGGGTGAACATGGTATTTCAGGAGATGGTTTAGTGGTTGTAGGGTGTGTGGTTGGGCTTGAGGATCTTGAAGGTCTTTTCCAACCTTGGTGATGATTCTGTGATTCTACAGTGACCAGATAGAAAATGCAGATTGTCTTCTTCTAAAAAAAAAAAAAAAAAAAAAAAAAAAAAAAAAGTTTTTAAAAAAATTGGTTTGAGAACTGTGGGTAAATACTGGCTTTCGGTGGTTAGAATGTCATCTTGTGCTCTTTTGCACTGCTTGTTTGGTTTGCTTTAAATACAGCCTGTAGGTTCCTGCAATCCAGTCCTCTCCACCTGTGTGTTCCACAGTTCTTTTGACAGTGCTTATACATGAGTATGCCACAACTGTATGCTTTAAAACTTAGCTTATATTCTGTTTGTAATGCTTCTCATATTTTCACCCTGTTTACAGATTAAATGAATTGGGTTTTACTTCTTCTGTACAGAAGGCAGATTAGGTCAGGGAGTTTCTGTCAAGTTTACTATGAAGTATTAATATGATGTGGCTTTGTGTTTTCTTTGTATTTTTCTGAGTATATGGTGTAGATGTGTAGATGCCTGACAGCAGTTTGAAGGCAAATTTCTGTGGTGAGGCTGCACAGCCCACTCCTTGCCTGGGTCTTTCCTTCAGAGAGATGTTGTAGGAGTTTTGTTGTGTTCACTCTGTTTCCCTTGTTTCCTCTTCAGAACGAGGGGCAGGGACATCCAGGTGCTCAGTCAGTTTATCTACACGGGGTTTTCCCAGGAGCCGAGGTTGCCATGCCTGACTCTTAGCTGCTGTTTTCAGCATTTCCCTGCATGGGTGGTTAGACAGCAGCACCAAGGCAGCAGGGCTGCAGAGCCAGCCCTCACAGATGTGCTCTCCCCCAGCCAGGGGAGCCATCCCTGCTGGGTAACACCACGCAGCTCTGCCCAGGCAGCCACAGCCCCTGCTAAGCCTCCCTCCATCCCATGCACAAGTGCTCCTCAGACACAATGAAGCAGTAGCAAAGCAAGAAAGTCTGCTTCTGAGATGCTAAAATAAATTTTAGCCAATAGTGGGATAAAATCAAGGGGGGGAGAAAAATCTGGGTGACTATTTAAAGCACTGAGAGGCTGTTGAACAGAAACTTGAAGTGTATCCCCATCGTGAATTAATGGTACCTAGTTTGAACTGAGCTACTTCAAGGGGCTCTTATGTATTAATATTGAGTTTCCTGAGCACTCAGGCTGGGCTGTAATGTATGCATACACATGGACACATGTACACACACGTGTGCACACATAGCTGTGTACACATGTGGGTACCTGCCCGGGCAGTCCTGAGCAATAGGTGTTTGCTACATGCCAGATCCCAGTCTCTTACTCTGTGGTGTCTTGGCCCAGAGCCAGCTATTCCTGTCAGCTATTTTGACTTCTGTTTTATTATTTCCTCTTTTATCTGCACGAATCTGTTCAGAAGTACTTGTGATGTTGTTTCTCAGACAGCTTTAAAGAGTGAAATAATTTGTTTTTTAGATGGAGGTACTGAAATTTACCATACCTAGAGATAGGGCTGTGGTTGCAAAAAAAAAAAAAAAAAAAAAAAAAAAAGAGAGCTGTTGCCTTCATATCTAATTCAGATGAAAACACTCTCATACACTTTACATCTTTAAGCACTGTTTCTTTTGTTTTTTCTTTCCTCTCGAAAAATTTAACACACCTAGAGAAGGGGGGGTGGTTGAAAAAAAAAAAAAAAAAAAAAAAAAAAAAGAGAGCTGTTGCCTTCATATCTAATTCAGATGAAAACACTCTCATACACTTTACATCTTTAAGCACTGTTTCTTTTGTTTTTTCTTTCCTCTCCTTCAGGAATTCATTTTATCTGAAGACTACAACAAAATGACGCTAGTGAAAAGTTACCAGGGTAAGAGCCATGATGGGTGTTAATTGGTTTGTATTGTCATTAATTTTAGTTAATATTCTCTCAAGGATTGTGAGAAGAGCAGTCTCCTTTACAGTTAATGATTTTTATTTTTGTTTAACTAGCATAAATTCTGGTTTTATCAATAGATCAATAATGTGTTTTGTTCTGAGATTACAAGACTTTTTAAAGAGTTGTTTCATGTTCTGTTTTTCCTTTTAAATGTTCCCTTGGAATATCACTCTATAGACAGCTAACTGTCCAAAATCCAGACCATGTTTGAGGAAGAGGAGTACTAATTTTTAATCTTTAGTGATCTCATGTATCTAATGAAACCATTTGGGAGACACCGAGAGTGTTTCCCAAACACCACTAGAGTGTGTCCTGAAGTTCCACATCTACACGTTTCTTGAATACCTCCAGGGATGGTGACTCAGCCACCTTCCTGGACAGGCTGTTTCAGTGCCTGACCTTTCATTCAAGTATAGAAATTCTTCCCAATATCTAGTCTAAGCTTTCCCTGCTGTAACTTCAGGCCGTTTCCTCTGGTCCTGTTGCTATTGGGAGAAGAGGTCAACACCCACGTCCCTACAACCTCCTTCCAGGCAGTTGTAGCCGGTGATGAGGTCTCCCCTCCCCCTCAGCTTCCTCCAAACTAAACAACTCCAGTTCCCTCAGCCACCTGGGACAGATGTCTTTATAGAAGTAACAAAACACATGCAATAATTTATTCTTTTCTCTCTTTTGCAGCTAGACTAAGAGGTGGTGTGTTATTATACGGCATCACATCATTATATGCTAAGCATTATGTCTCTGTAGAGAAGCCTCTGATATGTTGGCTTGAGATTTCTCACATACATTTTTAAAACACATATTTGCTCATATATTTTGAGTTTTATACTCTGAAAGGTTGAGAGGATAATTTAAATCTCTAAATGGAGGCTCTGGGGACCACTTTGTAACCATTTAGCTTTTAAGGTATGAAGAGAATCTTGACTTGTGCAGAATATGGCTAACAGCCTTCTGCTTTTGAGGGTTTTACTTCAACTTTTTCATTAATATCTAGTGTGTTGTAAAAATAAGCTAAAATGCTTGCATTTTTTCTTAGCTTGTAGAAACTGAAGAAAAATATGCAAGGAAGATAATATATATATGGGAATCTTAAATAAGATTCTTGCAGTCTGACTGTACAAATCTTTAGTATCCAAATTTGTGGTTGCTCCACAATCACTGGTTTGACACATGTAGATTTCATATTTAAGGGCTGTTGCACTTAAGAGTCCTACTGGCTATTCTGTACCCCCCTTTGTTACTAGCTCATCTGTTTCCAAGTTTAGATTCAATCCTGCAGGCTAATGACAACCTAGTGAGGGTGAGCTGAAGTATTTTCTTCTGCTGATCTGCATATGCAGAACAACACATGCATGAGAACACTTTTCTTGCCAAGCTCTTCAGGGAAAAGGCTGAACATTTTGGAAGGGAGAAACATATATCTTGGTAGTATGGCAAAGTAACCAGTTGGCTGTGGCAGCCCACCTGAGGCCTGGAGAGCACCTCTCATGAAACTAAAAATATTAGAAGACTATGGACTTATTTTAGGGGAAGAGAAACAATCCTTGGGCTCAGAATAAGCATAGTTTCAGTTCTAGCCCAAACTATGGTGCTTGCTGACAGAGGATGGTGTCTGCCTTCAGGAAACTAAGCCAGTATGTGTGTGACCATTTGCTGCCTACTGTCCTGAGCCCCTACCCCTCTGTCCTCCTTTGCTTCCAGAGTTTGACATTTGGTTCTCCCTGTTTAAGGTGATGAAAACTGTATTTGTCTAATCTAAAAAACAGTGGCAGTGTGCAAGTGACCTAGTTTTAGGAGTGGAAAGAAAGTGTGGTGATCCCATTCTGCCAGTATCCCACAAATTCATGGAGGGTTGGTACAGTAGACTCCTCTGTGCAAGGGTTAAAGAAGCATTAGAGCTGGTGTTCTGCTTTCTGCACATTGCCAAAAATACCCTCTCAGATGCTGTTGGAGGTGCCTCTTTTTTTTTTTCCCTTTTTTTTTTTTTTTTTTTCTCCCTCCACTACCAGCTTAGGAAAACCAGTCTGCTCTTAGTGCTGCAAATGGAGGTGGCAATCAGAGAGACATCCCAATTCATTGCTACAAACAGGACTCAGTGAAGGGCCATTCAGTAGAAAACTTTCCCTAAAAAAAAAGCCACAACAGAGCCAGGCAGGGAGAGAAGATGGAGAAGAGCTTCTGCATGAAGACACACTGCCTAGCTCAGCAGCAGTGCTGGCAACTCATGCTGAGCTACACAAACCTCTCTGGGCCACTCCTCTGTCCAACCTGCAATGACATGGCACTGAGTAGGTTACAGCAACCCAGGGACAGTCTCAGTTTTCTTCAGCTTCACTGGAAAGTGTCACTCTGAGTCCCAAGGGCCAATTGCAGCAGGCAAGTTTTTGACAGTGCAAGGGAGTAAAACAAAGCAGAGATTCCCCACTGTTTGCAGCACACTGATGACCTGAGGCTGCCTGCTGCTCCCCAGCACAGTGCCTTCCATCACTCCCATCCATAGAGACATCCTTTATTCTCCACTCCTCGCCACACGTGTTGGTAGGGGAGCAGGAGCACAGCACCTCCTCTCCCACTTCC